GCAACATACAGATCAGTATGACGGGTTGCTTGCCTTTGTTCGAATGATAATGCAGAGGTTTCCGAAAAAGTCACTCATTGGCTTTGTTGATGATGATATTTGCTGTATTCCCAATTATGACAAATAACTAACTTTGCTATGACCCAGTTATGACAAATGCAACTAACTTTGCACCGTGTGCGTTATGATAGTTTATCGATAGTTTATTGACAAGAGTCGAGACTCATCCCCTTAGTAAACGATCCGTGTAATGCCCGTATCACACTAGCGATTGGCGACTGCGTTTGCGTTTGCATTTGCGTTTACGATTGTTTCTTGACCAATCAGAAAAAAGCTGCTGGCGACTGCGATTTGCGATTCCTATTTAGCCGTCCGCCTATTTTTCACAATCGTAGACGCAAGTGCAACCAATCACAAAGCGACTTGTAGTAACATTAGAAGAGAACTTGTAAATGTGAAATCAGTGAATCATGCCACCTAAAAAACAGACATATTTTCAAAAGATGCAGAGTTTCTGCTGATTGATTTAGTGGAGTGTAGACCTATCCTTTGGGATAGTACTTCTGAGTTATATCAGGTGTAGTAAAAAGAAATCCATTATTTTTCCAATAGATGGCTTTAGTTATCTATATCTCGCGTTGTATAAGTCCGATCGGGTTCCACTAGATGGTGTTAGAAAGATGAGATATCGTACTAAAAAAACTTTTCTGACAGTTTTGTAATTAGTTGACTCAGTTTTGTTTGAGCGCGCGTCAAAGATGGACACTAGCAAATAGAAAATACGTTATATTTTACAGTTTTTCTTCGATGAAGGCGAAAACGCAAGCCAGGCGGCTGAAAATGTGAATAGTGTTTATGGTCCTGATACTGTAACAGCCAATCACGCGCAATTTTGGTTTCGTCGATTCCGTTCCGGTAATTTCGATGTCAAAGATGCACCACGTACTGGAAGGCCAATTGTCGAAAATATCGATAAAATCATGGACATTGTCGAGTCCGACCGTCATGTAAGCACTGTTTCGATTGCCCAAGAGCTAAAGATTGCACAAAAAATCGTTTGGAACCATTTGAATAAGGCTGGATACAAAAAGAAGCTCGATGTATGGGTGCCACACGAGTTAACGCAAAAAAATCTCATGGACCGAATTTCCATCTGCGAATCGCTGCTGAATCGCAACAAAATCAACCCATTTCTGAAGCGGTTAGTCACTGGTGATGAAAAGTGGATCACTTACGACAACGTCAAACGAAAACGGTCGTGGTCGAATCGCGGTGAGCCGGCGGAAACGGTGGCCAAGCCAGGATTGACGGCCAGGAAGGTTTTGCTGTGTGTTTGGTGGGATTGGCAGGGAATTATCTACTATGAGCTACTCCCCTACGGCAAAACTCTTAACTCGGAACTGTACTGTCAACAATTGGACCGTCTGAAGGAAGCAATCGCCCAGAAGCGGCCAGCTTTGGCCAATAGGAGAGGAATTGTGTTCTATCAGGACAACGCCAGGCCACACACATCGATAGTGACTCGCCAGAAGCTCCGGGAGCTTGGTTGGGAGGTTCTTATGCATCCACCTTATTATCCGGACCTGGCACCAAGTGATTACCATCTGTTCCTGTCCATGGCGAACAATTTTGCTGGTGAAAAACTCGCTTCAAGAGAGGCTTGTGTAAATCGACAGTCTCAATTTCTTGCCAATAGGGACGAGGGCTTCTATGAGAGAGGCATAATGAAATTATTTTCAAAATGGCAACAAGTTATCGAACAAAACGGCGCATATTTGACCTAAATCGGATCATTCTAACTATGGTAATTAAAGCCTTCAATTTCATGCAAAAATAATGGATTTCATTTTACAACACCTGATATAAGAGAACAGATTTAAAAGATGCAATTTGGGAAGAAGTGGCCCGTTCCTTAGGACCTCGTGTTTCAGGTTAATATTGTATACATCATATAATATGAAGAAATAATAAATTGGAAAGTTATTTCTATTAATACTTAGTATGATAATTATACATATATATATACAGGGTGTTTGATAGCTGATCATGCAGACGAAAGTTGGAGATAGATTGGTAGCCGAGAAGAAAAGTCATGTACCATAATGTCAAATTGCCAATAGTTATCGAATTATTAATTAAAACGTATGAGCCAACGAGCGCGTAGAGAGCGGAGGGCGACAGCAGTAAGCACGTAGACATTTGATACAGGCGGAGTCAGTGAGTAACGGTAGGCAAGCGCGCGCGACGAGGGGCAACATAAATAACAAGAAGCGAGCGCGCGCGACGAGGAGCGAGCGAGCGCGAACGACGAGGAGCGAGCGAGCGCGAACGACGAGGAGCGAGCGAGCGCGAACGACGAAGAGCAAGCGAGCGCAAGCGACAAAAGGCGAGCGAGCGCGACGAAGAGCGAGAGAGCGCGAACGACGAGGAACGAGCGAGCTATAACCTCTAGCCCTACACGCTCGTTGGCTCACATCTGTTAATTAATAACTCGATAACTATTGGCAATTTGACATTATGGTACATGACTTTTCTTCTCGGCTACACCCAATCTATCTCCAACTTTCGTCTGCATGATCAGCTATCAAACACCCTGTATATATATATATATATATATAGTATGCATTCACTTCATACAATTTTTGAACATTGTAAAATTCTATTAATACTTAGTATGATATATATCTATATCTGTATATATATATATATGTATATATATATATACAGGGTGTTTGATAGCTGATCATGCAGACGAAAGTTGGAGATAGATTGGGTGTAGCCGAGAAGAAAAGTCATGTACCATAATGTCAAATTGGCAATAGTTACCGAGTTATTAATTAAAATATGTGAGCCAACGAGCACGTAGAGAGCGGAGGGCGGCCGCAGTAAGCACGTAGCCATTTGATACAGGCGGAGTCAGTGAGTAACGATAGGCAAGCGCGCGCGGCGAGGGGCAACGTAAGCGACAATAGGCGATCGCACGCGACGAGGAGCGAGCGAGCTTTTTCTTTATAGCTTTTTCCTTATAGCTCGCTCGCTCCTCGTCGTTCGCGCTCGCTCGCTCTTCGTCGCGCTCGCTCGCCTCTTGTCGCTTGCGCTCGCTCGCTCCTCGTCGTTCGCGCTCGCTCGCTCCTCGTCGCGCACGTTCGCCTCTTGTTGCTTACGTTGCCTCTCGCCGCGCGCACTCGCCTACTGACACTCGCTGATTCCGCCTGTATCAAATGTCTATGTGCTTACTGCGGTCGGCTTCCCCTCTCTACACGCTCGTTGGCTCACATGTTTTAATTAATAACTCGATAACTATTGGCAATTTGAGATTATGGTACATGACTTTTCTTCTCGGCTACACCCAATCTATCTCCAACTTTCGTCTGCATGATCAGCTATCAAACATCCTGTATATATAGCATGCAATCACTTCATACAATTTTTGAACACCATGTAAAATGTAAAAGTTGAAAGAAGTTATGTGTACAAATAAATTGTATATATTTAAAGTAATACGTCTTTCTTCCTAGGTACTGTTATAGCAAGCAGATTTAAAAATATGAAAGATACTTTTATGTCAAATTTGAGAAGAGTGAAGGACTCTAAACATAGTAGAAAAGGCACTACAGATATTTATATTCCAAAGTGGCCTTTGTACAGACGTTTAAAGTTTTTACAGAAGACAATGGTTTAGAGTACTTCCATTTCAAATCTCACTACTTCTTCAGAGGAGAATATTGACGATCCTGTATCACAGAGGAGAAGAATTTCAAATGAATCAATGACACAGTGGGTATCATATGTAGCAGAGGAGAACCAAGATAAGGAAATTGTTACTGAGAAACCTGAACTTTTAAACATGTATTATAATGACTCTATGAAAGTAAGATTATTATATAATAGAGCTTTGACAACATTTGAATATATTTAAAGAATGAGTATAACAAAATTATTTTTAATTTGTATAAAATTTTACTGGTGGAATTTGGTATAGAAATTTATGCTTCGATCAAGAGAAGATTCATCTAATAATTCTACAGATTTATCAGTATCTGAAAGTTATGCAAGCTCAGTAAGTTAAAACAATTGTTGATATTATAAATAGAATATTAACCTTTTTTCTCTAGAACATCCTTATTCACAGCCAATATCTTATGCACTTGTACTTTTGCGATTTATGTCTACTCTTGTCCTACAGGCAACTTCGCAAAATGCAACTGTTTTGATCTCAACAGCATCAACAAAGCCTATATCTACTGTATCTGCTTCTAAAAAACAAGATACCGACAATCAGATGTATACCAAACGAGGATCTAAAAGAAAGACTGGTACTTTCATGGAAGAAGCAGTTAGTGCCATTAAAACTTTGTCAACCTGATCCAATTACTTCATTTGAGCCTAACTTATCTGTATCCAGATTCAGTCAATATCCCGATAATGACTCTGCTCATACCTTAGGATTGTTTATTGCGGCAAGACTACGTGAAATGCAGCCTGAAGAGCGTAGACTGTGTGAAAATGAAATACTAAAACTGATATCTCAGTTTTAATATTTTCTTTATTATATTCATAAAACTTTATATATTACATATACTAAGTTTTTATTTCTCAGAGAAAAGTTTAAAATGCAATTAAATTTTATTTTAGTTTTAATAGGAACATGACAAATATTTTATTATGTACTAGGTTTAAAGTAATTACATATTTTGTGTATAAATATTCATAAGAAAGTATTTAAATATTATCTTAATTACAAATATGAACCTAATTAGTATAAATCTAGTAACTCTGCGTTTATATGCAGAGTATGTTATTTTAAGTTTCAGATGTTTTAGCATACAGATGTTTTAACGTTTTTGATATCTAGAGTATGTCATTTTTAGTTTCAGATGTTTTAACATTTAGATTTTATGTTCAAACTTAGAAAAATGATTATAAAATATTTCCTTATATTATAATTGTTCTACAGTTATCTTATATGTTTGTAGTAGAAATGATAATTGTCTGTTGAAAAATATTAATATTGTTTATTTATAATTGTTATCTAAATATGTTATGCTAATAAAATACAAAGCTGGTAAAATACAAAGTGAATAAAAGTTCTACAAAAATATATTTTATTTTGTCTGTCACTGAATTGCCTGATCTTGCCATGGTATTCTTCCAATGTTATTAAAATATTCACATAAAGTTTTTCGCATTTCTATGGCAACAGAAGCATGGAGATTGCCTCCTTGATGTTGTAATCTTAATAAATCTTGTCCTTGCTCATCTCGCCATTCTCCATATTGCAATTGACCTGTCATTTCATCTTCCATATCAATATATCCTGGTGGAGTATATATCATACGGCCTATACTGTGAGATCTCAACATATTATGAAGACAACAAATCGCCAATACAATGCAACGAGTATCATCTGGGTCGTATCTCATTGGAGATCTGAATATATTAAATCTGCTGACCATGACTCCAAATGCATTTTCCGCACATCGTCTCGCTCTAGATAATCTGCAACAATAATTAAATGTGGAATATATAAATACTGATATATAAGAAAAAACACCTATTCCTTTTCTTCTACTTACCTGTAATTATAAATTCTTCTCTCTTTTTTTCCTGTACATTGTTCCTTGGGATCCTTGGGATAAGGTATGAGCACATTTATTGATAAAGAAAAACCTTCATCTCCTATAATTACATAAGGAAAATCCTGCTCAGTACCTGGTAGGGGACTTGGTGGAGGAATATTAATGTCGTTTTTCTGCAAATTATGTTTTAGAGCACATTTATTCCATATTCCTCTGTCAGATATTCGTCCATTTGTGCCTACATCGACGAATATAAATCGAAGTTGAGCATCCACAACCCCCAAAAGCACGATACTGAACGTTTCCTTGTACAATAATTGAAGTATGAGAAACTAGACTGAAGTGGAGGATCTATCCGAACATGTTTCCCATCCATGGCACCCAAGCAATTTGGAAAATTCCATCTTTCCATATAATCATGAACAATTACTTTCCAAGCCAATTCACTGTCAGGAAATTTCAGATGTGTTTCTTGCAAAACAGAAATGAGAGCACAAGTATCCTTTATGATCCCAGATATAGTGCTTTGTCCAAGACAGAAAGTATAAGATAGTGATTCTTGACTTTCACCTACAACAGATAATATACAAAATTATTACATGATGAAAAATAAGTCACAAAAAAATATATAACTTGCTTAAAATAGATATGCTCAACAACCTGTTGCCAAATGACGTAATGTTACAGCAAGTCTTTCTGCAGGGGAGATACTTTGTCGGAGATGAGTATCCTGTCTTTTAATTAATGGCTCCAATTTCTTCACAACCCAGTAAACAATCTGTACGCAGACTGACGTCAGATTGGCGACAGATTCGAGCAGGCACTGTTGACAGATCCGTAGACATCTGTGTCCGCGCACGGCTTGTGATCTGTCGACAAAGCCTGTGTACATTATCTAACGGCAGATTGGCGGCAGCGTGCGTGCAGAGTCTACTAACATACTTTAATAGCAAATTGACGGCAGAATGCGCGCAGTTTCTGCTGACAAATTCTGACAGCAGATTGGTGGCAGAATGTGAGCAGATTCTGTCGTTTCATTAAATGGAATGGCTGGACACACAGGTTTTTAAATGATCATTTAAATTGGTATTTAAATCCCATACCATTTTGTTCTCTACTTTTTCTGCTTTAGTATTTAATAAGAAATAAATACAATACAATGTGGAGAGGTGAACTATGATCATTATTAACTATAATTTACAAGGAAAGTACAATTTTGTCAATTACGTTAAATATTATAAACATATATATAGATTTTTGTTGAGACTTTAAATTCTTAATACATAACTACGCAAAATAAAATTTTCGAGATAATTAACTTATTGAGAATTAGCAAATCCTAATAGAAATAATGCCTTATGTAAAAATAACGAAAGAATCGTATATTTGTATTACGTGCAATATATTTATTAACGTATTTGGTACTTTTTTTTTAATCATTATGTATTTTAATTCCAACGAAGTAATTCTTGTACAACATTGTACAAAGTCATCGCCTGTCGCTTAACGCAATGCAACGTATAATGTTTTCCTGTTCGTGTAAAGAGGCTACATAGTAGAAAACATATACAATATACATGCATGCACACAGGCCACATAGTAGAACATAAGAATCCAAAATATGTAACATTTTTAAAACGCTAAATGCATTTTTTAACGTGACTAAATAAAATAAAATAGTATATAATAAACTAATATAAAATAAACTTGGATAATATAAAAAATACATGTATTTACGTTATTATGTATGTAGAAGAACTTATGCGCAAAATCTTTCACTTTTGGCCTAAACGAACATTTTCTCTGTAATATAGATTCTTCTATATTTTATATTCTATATTTCGGCCTTCTTTACTCCGTCCTAAATGGTATTCGTTCATCAATGATCAATTCTCCTTGCAGCAGTCGTCAGATTATCTTTTATAATGTCCTACAAACAGAGACAATAGAAATAGTGTTATACATGCTAATAATATAATCCACAAGGACAAAATAAAGATTGTACAACAGAAAGCATAGACTCTTGCATAACGCATAAAGAAATACATGAATAAAAATCCTTCATTTCCATCGTGGAACCTATTGATTATAACCTCTTCATAATATTTATTAAGTCAATATATACACAGGATGTATAAAAACCGGGATAAAATATCACAAAGCTAAGCATTTTAGAAAAAAATATTTCAAATGAAAATTGTAGCTTTTCAAAAGATCTATTTACTAATATTATGAGTTTAACCTTGAATGGCGTCGCCCAGGTCAGGATAAGATTACCTTGACTTTTTTAAATAGGAGCCCCTATTTTTTATTGTATATTCTTGTAGCCTCTTTTCGGTCCTTTTCAAAGCACTATAACTTTTTCTATTTTGAGTAAGCCGTTTCGAAGTTATTGAGCTTCTTATCATAACATGTCCAGTCAACTAAGGCAAGATCAAAGAAGTATCTAGCCAGTCAAGACAAAATCAAAGAAGTATCCAGCCAGCCAAGGCAAGATAAAAAAAGTGTCCAGCCAGCCAAGACAAGATCAAAGAAGTATCCAGCCAACCAAGGAAAGATGATCCTAAAGGAAAACTAGCAATTAAAAGCTTGATTAATGTATCAAATTGTTCATCATTCATTGGTTGACAATGCGCTAATCGATGATAAAAATCTGAAACAGCATCTTCTACAAAAGCGTTTGAGAATAATGTTAATCTCTAAAAGAAAAAGTAAAGTCTAACGAATAAGCCAGGAAACAAAAAGATTTATCCAATAAACAGAAATTTGTATTAATTAGATAACAAAATCGATAATTCAATTAAAGAAAGAAAAATCAATAACAACAATCATTTATCTTTTCCGTATGAAACAACGCGTATCATGTACTGTATCAGTAATTTGTACTACTTCAAATCAAATTCATTGATTTGAAATAATTCGAAGGTGAATTTTAGTGCTGTTATAAATTTAGTACATTAGTATTACTTTAATATTACATGTGTATGAAATACAAGTCACGAAATTGCTCCAGCCGCTGACTGAACATCTTATCATAAAAAGCTCGATAACTTCGCAACAGCTTACTCAAAGTGGAAAAAATTATAGTTCTTTAAAAAGGTTTGAAGGGCTACAAAAATATGAATAAAGAATAGGGGGTCCTATTTAAAAAATTCTAGGTAACCTTGTTCTGACCTTGGCGACACCATCCAAGGTCAAACTCATAATGTCAGTAAATAGATCTTTTGAAATCCTATAATTCTTATTTGAAACATTATTTTCTAAAATGTTTAGTTTCAGTGATATTTCACCATCCCAGTACTTTTTATTATACCCTGTACATATATTAGGTTGTTCGGAAAGTTCGTTTCAAATTTCGCGCGCTCCCCATTTCTATGTAATCAGTAAGAACGAGGGCGCTCTAAACGATTTTATGTTTGTCAACAAACATTCCCGGATCTATGAGCCCGCTAAGGAAACTTCGCAGATCTTCCTAAGTGCAACTATTTCGTCAGAAATCAGTTTGAAAAATGGAGAACCAAAAAGTCCATTTTCGTCATGTGATGCTATATTGCTTTAAACGTGGCTTCACGGCTTCGCAGACCCTGAATGAGATGTTCTCAATATATGGAGATGCCTGCGTCACTCACTAGACAGTTCGAAAATAGTAGTTCGAAGACAGTATCGAAGATTCGAAGCTGGCGATTTCAACATGGAAGATCAAGCTCGCTCAGGCCGGCCTCAGGAGGTTGATGAAACGCTTCTTATGGATCTCGTGCACGAAAATCCTCGAGTGACAGTTAGAGAACTCGCCGACATTCTGCACAAGTCTGTTTCCACCGTGCATGACCATCTGAAGAAGCTAGGATTCTCAAGTCGACTGGATGTGTAAGTGCCACACGAAATGAATGAACGGCAGTTGCTGAAACGTGTGAACGTCTGCGATATGCTGCTTCAACGGCACCAAAAAAAACCGTTCTTGAAGAGGATCATAACGGGCGATGAAAGTTGGATCCTATACAATTATGTTAGCCGCAAGAGGTCGTGGGGAACCAGCGACGCGTCTACGCAAACAGTGGCCAAGCCGGGGCTTCACGCGAAAAAGGTTCTTCTGAGTATCTGGTGGGATTTTAAGGGCGTGGTATATTATAAGCTTCTTCAACCAAACGAAACCATCAACGCGGCGAAGTACAGCCTTCAACTGGACGAACTGAAGACTGCCATCGCACGGAAGCGCCCTGAATTGGCCAACAGGCGTAGAATTGTTTTCCATCATGATAACGCCAGACCTCACGTCGCAATGTCTATCCGTAGGAAGCTGTTAGACGTTCTTGGGACGTTCTTCCTCATCCTCCATATTCTCCCGACCTTGCCCCATCTGACTACTATCTATTTCTTTCTTTAAAAAATTTTCTTCGGGACAAGAAATTCGAGTCTTTGAAAGTCCTCAAAAGTCATCTTGATAAATTCTTCGCCAATAAGAAACCATTATTTTGGAGCAAAGGCATCATGCAGCTTTCTGAAAGATGGGCCAAGGTCGTTGAACAAAACGGTACATATTTGCTTCAATAAAGTTCCTCTTTGTGTAAAATATTGCGCTCTTAATTTATTTCAAAAATTTGAAACGAACTTTCCGAACAACCTAATATTTCCTAATATTTCTGATTATCACTTGTTCCGTGCAGCTGTATTTCCTGCATTCTATTAAACATCTGTTGCAGAGGTAAACCTGGCTTCCTGCAAAATTTCCTAAAAATGGACATGTTGTTTTCAAATGGAAAAGCTGAAAAGGAATCTAAACTTCCAAGACGTCTGACATCGTCAGTGAGATGGAAAAGACCGTGTATATTGTATGAATAGAAAGTAGCACCATAGAGAGAACCACAACGAAGGACAAATTTTTGCAGTGCAAGTTGTGCAAAATCAAGATATTTGTTCGATGGAGATTGTGATAAAATTCTTATAGCACAGTGTAACAATAGGAAATGCTTGTATAATTGTTCATCTAACACACCATAAGTAACAACAATACCTGTGTACAAAAGAATCTGACGAAGCTCTGTAGCTTTATATTTGGAGCATGCATCCAGAGGTCTAGGGTGTCTTACGAAATCAGTAGGACAATATTGTCGAAGAATATTCAACCTAGCATTAATTACAGAAATTGATTTTGCACAGAGTTTTGCTCTGCATATGTATTTCCCACATACTAACGCAGACAATAACTTTTTCATAACACCTAAACACACTAGGTGCATGTACTCGAAAGGCACTTGCGATACCATACCTATTGGGAGCAACGATAATGGGCCTGTGCCTTCTTTATGATGATGATCTTCGTCTACATATCTGATATATTCGTCATCATTTCTCAAAGAATGGTTGATTCCATGGAAGACATTATGATGTTCACATTGTGTGCCTGAAACTTTACATTTGGAACATGGTTACGAAGATATATGGCCAACATGATTAAGAACAAAAGCTCGAGCTGGTGCATCTGCTATGAATGATCTCAACTGTATTGGTACTCTATTGCCATTAAAGTTAATGCCACCATTTGATAGGATTGCTCTAATATCAGTAACAAATTTTTCGAAAAAGATATTAGCATCATGAGGTTTATGTGTACCTTTATAAATCCCTTCAACAAAGGGTTTTGCCTGCTATATATTATATACTCTACATTGTATAGGCCAGATATGAATAGTACCTGTTCTATCCAATGTGCATCCATTAGTATTAAAATCTAATTGGAGCTGTGTAGGAATAAATGTTAATGAAACGTTTAACAGACTTTCAACGATACGTGCTTCCACATCAAAGTAAATGTACTCTCCTGGCTCTACGTTATATGTAACAACTTGATTTCGTGATGTATGAAGAAGAGTTCTCACATCTTTAGGTAAATTCGAAAAGCAAGGATGTGTTCTAAGGAGAGATAACACATTATTACCTTGCATATGAATTAATTTATTGTCGACAAAGCAAGATGCTAATCGTTCACGAAAGGATGTTTGTGATAAATCATGGGAAGATAATGACAACGTATTATTAATATCTAAAACGCATGAAGATGAGGAAGATGAGAAAGAACAAGAAGATTCATTAATAATATGAGTGTCATCCCTAATACCATAATCATCAGTGGAAACATTAAGACTATTGCTCCAAAAACTACAGCCCGGAATTGATGAGCCAGGATTATCTTTAACATTATTATTCTTTATTGATTCCCTATCAACAATGGTACATACAGATGAATTTTGTGAACTCAAGTTCTCTTTGATCTCCGACATAACCCTAATTTGTTGTCTTCTACACAACTTATGCACCGATTTGCGCGACACGGATAATTTATAATAATTTTTTTCCATAATTACGTATTTTTTTGGGCGAATCTCGTTTTGCAGCAAATATACGTCCCGAGCAAAACACTATGTACTGACTTTCTATTATACGTCATGTAACGACAGTCGCACTTGAAACAATGGTCACGTTCAGTGGAGAAAACTGCTCCGCTACTACTCAGTAACAAATGTTCATGATTGGAGAATTTTTTAAAATCTTTGGCAGGTCCAAACGGACGTACCAATCAGAGACGTTTGCTACGGAACGGTAGCGGAGCAATTTTTCTGCTGAATGCGGCCAATGACTTCTGTTATTAGTAAACTTTGAATTCGGAACCGACTGGGCAATATTGAACTTGCAGATTGGCGAATGCAATTTAACTGACATATAGGGAATGCCACGGTCTCACTGGCTGCGTTCAGTAGAACAAAGATTGTGTTCAGAAAACAAAGCGCTCACTGAGCGCTTAGTAACTATTGGTCCTTATTGTTATATCCTTACATTCAGACCAATAACGTTGACGAATTACTCAACCGTTGTGTAACCGTTGTGTTTTCTGAACGCAGCCAAAATGATCAGTGAGCGCTTAGTGATTATTGTCTGTGATTGGAGCATTCTTTTAGATTCTTCATAGACCCAGAAGTATTTACCAATCAGGAGCGAGAATCATTAAGCGCTCACTGATCATTTTGTTCTACTAAACGCAGCTAAACTGAAAGAGAAGAAAAAACTGCTTACCAAGTGCTTTGTGATTATTATTTATGATTGGAGTATTCTTTTAGATCTTTAACAAATCTAGGGGAATGAACCAATCAGAAACGATAATCACTAAGCGCTTAGTAAGCAGCACTGTATTCCAATATTCGTTGCCAGTATTGAAAGTCTATAGTTAATGTTACGTACACTATATATTTTTAGTACTGGCAGTAAATATCGGAACACTCCCAAAAGCGTACACAGTCCCTTATGACTCTCGCAGATCAGCGCGATGAGCGACGCAACATGCAACGCGCGACCTAATAAGCGCGTATATCTAATAAGCCTTCAGTTATTCCAGAGAAACAGGAGAACTACAGTCATTGGATATCATGCGTCGCATCTCGCGTATCGCGTCACGCATTGTGCTGGTTTGCAAGAGCCATTAGGCCGGGTATATAATACGTGTAACAAGCCTTAAGCCGCAATAGCGTTCTCGAGTGAACTGGAGTAATCGCTCTGAAGACGATTTTTAACATTAATTTATATATACTACATTTATTTATATATTATTATTAAATACTAGTTTATATATAATACATTCAAAGCTCTGTGATAAGCTACACAGAGCTAATTATATCGTAAAATATTCTATTGTAGAACGGGTTTAAGGCTTGCTATAACTATTGTAGATTTCTTTACTAATTGTCAGGAAGTCAATTGTCTTGAAAAATTATCTTGTATATAGTTTCTCGCAGCTTGCAGATTGACAAATTAAAGTCCCAGTAACAATCTATACATATTAATTAAAAAAATTCATAGAAGACATTCGATGTATGCACAGTAGCTAAGAAAAACTTGTAATAAACGAATATTTATATATTTGTACTTTTTTATTGCATGTTTAAATAAAGACAAACTCATGTTTTAACTGTTAGTTAGCTTACCAAGAAGATGGAACACAATCCGCCCTTAATAAAATAATTTATGAAATGACTAACAGAGTCTGCGGAAAAATGAGCAGAGTCTGCTCACATTCTACCGTCAATCTGCCATCAGATTATGTGTGCAGGCTCTGCTCGCAATCTGTCGCCAAACTGCTGTTACATTATATATACGTAGACCCTGCTCGCAATCTGCCGCCAGTCTACTGTCAGATATTATGTGTGCAGATTCTGTCGCTTAACTGACATCAATTTGGCGACATCGCCTGACACAGCAGATTTTGTCTACAGTCTGTAGCCTTATTGTCAACAAAATCTGTCAACAGGTTCTGTTCAGAATCTGTTTGCGCAGGTTTGGCTATCTGGGATCCTCAAACAAATCTGAAGACATACGAAGACATCTGACAAAACAAATACATAATATTAATTACTGAAAGTGATTAGAGTTAACAAACTATACTCAAATTACATTCTTACGTTCTATAGATTATAACCCATACATAAAAAAATATATCTACCTGCGATACTTATCTGGATCTTCTAGTTGTAATTCTAGAAAGAGGTTATGAAAACAACCTTGTTGTGCTCTTTTAGCTATCCAGGATCAAACCCACATTTTTTTTTTTAGGAAGAACCTTTTTCTCATACTGTGACTTTAACATCATTAACATCACAATGACACATATTTTTTTTTTCTTTCTATGTTCCATTTTTCTTCACTTCTGTTGCAAAACCTATTATTATACATTGAAACGACGAAATGCAAACGCTTACTCCCAGCGGTCACTAGTGTGATTGACAAACATCAAATCGCAAGCGCAAACGCAAACGCAAACGCAGCCGTCAATCGCTAGTGTGATACGGGCATAATACGGTGAACGTGACGATTGGTATCGAAATCTATCGAAGTCGCATTGAAACGTTGAGGCACCTTTTCCGGGATGTTGACTGATTGTCTCGATTATGCCGCGTTGCGGCCGGCTTTGTACCGTTTGCGGCTGTCATCGCGGTGAATGAGTTGAGTGACAGTTTGTACGAAAGAAGTTCGAATGGGGTTATATTAGTCAGACAGAGAGAATGGGGAGGGGGAGAGAGGTAAAGAGGGAGGGAGGGAGGAAAGGAGGGAGGGAGGGAGAGAGAGAGAGAGAGAGAGAGGGGGGAGGCAGAAAGAGAGTGTGAGAGAGAGTGAGAGAGAGGGGGAAGATATGTGAGAGAGAGAGAGGGAGAGAGAGAGAGAGAGAGAGAGAGAGAGAGAGAGAGAGAGAGAGAGAGAGAGAGAGAGAGAGAGAGAGAGAGAGAGAGAGAGAGAGAGTGAGAGAGAGAGAATTGTGAGGGAGGAAGAGGCAGAGAGAGTGTCTATGAGAGAGAGTTAGTATGAGAGAGAAAGAGTGGGAGAGAGAGTGAGAAAGAGAGAGTATGAGACAGAGAGTGTGTGTGAGAGAGAATATGTATGAAAGAGGGAGTGTGTGAAAGAGGGAGTGTGAGAGAGAATGTGAGAGAGAGAGGGTGTGTGTGAGAGTGAGTGCGTGAGAGTGGGAGGGCGAGAGTGAGAGAGAGGGGGAAGGAGAGATAGCGCTTAAGATGGTCTTGAATAGAAATGTTAAACGTCGAAATTTTCATTGGTTACGCGTTACTATACAGAAAATATATCATGGAATTTAAAATTTTATGCGCCGGATACATCGTATGTTGGAGTCAGATGTTATCTAACTTATATTACACTTCAGAAATTATTTTTGATTTATGATATTTATTCTAAACTTTAATATGAATAAGCTGAAATGGAAAAAGAAACCTTATAATGTTCCTTATAAGGAATCTTATAGGAAAGGAAACAAAAAAAAGGTGAAAGAGAAGGAAAAGGAGTTCTTCTTTACCTCTAGTCCTATATTCGGTGATTTAAGACTTACATAACCCTTTGCGGTCGATGCCACCACAGTGGCAGCATTCGCAAGTTGTAGAAGTCGGTGCCGCCAGGCTGGCATTTATGATTGCCTGGTGTGCGGCATGGCGAACGAAGCTAGCGATAATGAATGAAAACTATCCTCCCGATGCTAGATTCAAATGTTTAGATCAACTTACAGATGTCAATGTTTATCGATCTCTTCGAAATCTGCCGGCTGCAAAGAGTTAATCCTTAAAAATTGACCAAACACAGCCGATTTTCCTTAAATATTGTATAGCTTACTTTAAGTTATTCTAAACTTTAATATGAATAAATTAAAATGGCGCGCACAAATGCGCGCTTGTAGAGTGCGAGAGTGAGAGAATAAGAGAGTAAGAGAGGGAGGGAGGGAGAGAAAGAGGGAGAGAGAGTGAGGGAGAGAGTGAGAGAGAGAGAGAGGAAGACAGAGAGGGAGAGAGAGGGAGAGAGAGAGAAAGAGAGAGAGGGAGAGAGAGAGAGAGAAAGAAAGACATAGACCTTATGATGGTCTTGAATAGAAATGTTAAACGTTGAAATTCTCATTGGTTAGACGGTTACGCATTACTATGCAGAAAATATTTGTCATGGAATTTCAAACTATGCGCCTAATACATAGTATGTTGAAGTCGGATATTATGGAACTTATATTACACTACAGAGATTAGTTTTGATTTATATTTATTCTAAACTTTAATATGAATAAACTAAAATGGAGGAAAGAACCTTATAAGATAAAAAAGGAAACAAAGAAGAGGTGAATGAGAAGGAAAAGGAGTTCTTCTTTATCTCTTCTTTATCTACTACATTCGGTGATTTAACACTTAACCCATTAACGTCCAAAAATCCTAAAATATTAGCCTTACTTTGCAACTGTATTTTATGTAAAGAAACATTATATAAGGTTGGAATAGCATTGCCTTATGTTTTCGGGGTCGTTCTACAAGATTCCGGCATCAAAATTCGTTTAGATTCACAATAAAATTCAATATAGCGGAATTTTTGGAAAAAAGTCATGAAAAATCGACAATTTTATTTTTTATAAGCTTGATTTCGTATCAAAAATGTTACTTTGATACAGATACAAGTGTCACATCTTGTCTCAAAAATGTTGAACTTTCAAGATATGTATTGATGAAAATGTGAATTCAAGATGACTGCCTCAAAATGAGTATTTTTAGAATAACTTCGCAAAATCTTAATATTTAGCATCAGTTTAGTATGCAAGGTACTGATTTTAGGATATTTGCTGACAACTAATTCATATTAGAGAATTTCAAAATGGCGGATCCAAGATGATGACTAAAAGGCACGAATAATCGTGAAAATTTCCAGAATCTAGAAAATTTTCATGAATTTTCTTCTATTATTTTCATATTCATGAATTATTTTCGAGACATATATACGTATATATACAGGATGGGTAATTATAAACTTACAAACTTTATAAAAAACATAAAAAACATTGAGATGAGTACAACGGACGGGAAAAAATAGAAATCGACTAAGTAAAGTTTTGAGAATAATTGCTAAATAAAGAACGAATAAACGCTCAGTGGGCATGCGTTATGGGCATCGCAGGCATGTTACTCCGCACGACTTGGGCTGGATTGACAGGCAATAACAGTGGACCGTCACGCGCCGTTGTTACCTGTCAATCCGGTCCAAGCTATGTGGAGTAGCAGGACCGCGACGTCCGATCACTGTGCATTTATTCGCTCATTTAATAATTTAATAATTTTTATTTAATAATTATTTAATAATTTTTCTCAAAACTTTACGTAGTCGATTCAAATTTTTTCCCGTCCGTTGTATTTATCTCGATATTTTTTATGTTTTTTATTAATGTTTTTTATTAAGTTTGTAAGTTTATAATTACCCATCCTGTATATGTGCATGTGTATGTCTCGAAAATAATTCACGAATATGAAAATAATAGAAGAAAATTCATGAAAATCTGGAAATTTTCACGATTATTCGTGCCCTTTAGTCGCCATCTTGGATCCGCCATTTTGAAATTCTCTAATATGAATTAGTTGTCAGTAAATATCTTAAAATCAGTACTCTGGATATTATATTGATGCTAAATACTAGGATTTTGCGAAATTATTCTAAAAATACATTGTTTTTTAAGTCTTTTTCGTTCAAATCGCCATTTTGAGGCAGCCATCTTGAATTCACATTTTCATCAATGTATACCTTGAAAGTTCAACATTTTTGACACAAGATGTGACACTTATATTTGTATCAAAGTAATGTTTTTCATACGAAATCAAGCTTATAAAAATAAAATTATCGATTTTTCATGACTTTTTCCAAAAATTCCGCCATATTGGATTTTATTATAAATCTAAACGAATTCTGGTGCCGGAATCTTATAGAACGACCCCGAAAACTTAAAGAAATGCTATTCCAATGCTTATACGAGGGTAGTCCCAGAAGTACCTGACCTTGCAACTGCGTGTCCGGTTACAACCTAACAAAGAAAACAAAAAATTTGGGAAAAAATATCTTTATTTCTCTACATAGTCTCTTTTTATCTCAATACACTTTTTCCGGCGATGTTCAAATAGCTTCGGTACCCTGTTTATAGTGGGAATCATCGAGCTCCTTAAAATAGTCATCAAGCCACCTTAGTCCATTGTTTTGACTGTTCCTTCGTCTCAGATATGAAGTGAAGGACCCATGTTTTATCCATGGTTATGAATCGACACAAGAACTCGGCTTTATTGCTGCGAAACTTCGTCAAACACTCGATTGAAACATCCTCACGACGCTATTTTTGTTCCATTGTGAGTAATCGCGACCATAATGTGAAAATCGTAATAATTTTTTAGTAATAACCGCGTAAAGTTTGGCGTTTTCCACACCCATCACGGCCTATAGACGCTTCGTGGCAAGCTGTGTGCGTGGGGGCTGAGCGGTAACGCGTCTCGTGTTAATTGTCGCGATGGCGTCTTGGCGCTTTGACTCCGCGCCGCGGTCAACGCGAGCCGCGTTATTGCTCAGCTCCTACGCACACAGCTTGCCGCGGAGCGTCTATAGGCCGCGCTGGGCATGGAAAACTCCTAACTTGGTGCTTATAATTAAAAAACTATTACAATTTTCACCTTATGGCACAGGACTTTTTTGTTCCTCTCACTTAGCTCTACAGGGTGGTTGACTATAAGTTGCCAACCCGAAATGTGAAGGTAGATTGGGTTAAGATAAACATAAAAGTCCCATACCGTTTTGCGAGATTCGCAATAATTATCCAGTTGTTAATGACAGAAATCTGAGGAATGGGAGTGCGTCGACATAGATGATTGGAGAAGCGTTGCAGTTACTCAGGCCACAGCGCGGCCCACTCGACCTAACATCTGTTGGCGGCGTGCGGCGAGACGCAGGTCCGACGAGATAAAACAACGAATAGCAGCGCATTGTCTTTCCCCTCGCCGCGCACCGGCAACAGTTTCTGGATCAACTGGGCCGCGCTGCGGCCTAAATAGCTGCAACGCTTCTCCAATTATCTATGTCGGCGCGCTCCCATTCCTCAGATTTCTGTCATTAATAACTGAATAATTATTGCGAATCTCGCAAAACGGTATGAGACTTTTATGTTTATCTTAACCCAATCTACCTTCACATTTCGGGTTGGCAACTTATAGTCAACCACCCTATATATCCCTACGGAGCCCGTATGCCAAAGTTCTGAGACACCCTGTAGATAGATTATAAGTAGTATGTGGGAAGGTATGGGCCGTCAAAACATTCCCCCTCCACTCAACCCGTCGGTGCCACTAAACCACGCCCACCGGCGCCAGCGGGTCGAGTGGAGAAGAAATGTTTTGACGGCCCATACCTTCCCACAGACAAAAACTGATCGACTTTTGACATAAGCAAATTATGGCTGGAATTAGTAAAATGGCGGACATTATTAAGGAGTTAGCGATTCTGGCTCTTGACCAGCTACTTAATTTACATATTGCATTTTTGGAAAAACTTTGTAAGCTCTGCTGGATTCGAACCTGGGACCTTTGGCTCTTCAGTCAAACCGTCTTACCACTGCGCTACTGTTATATACCCTGATGGAAACTAGTTATATTGCCTACATACGTAAAGTATCGACGTCACAAGTTTTGGAAAAACTCTGTGGTCCCGCTCGAATACGAACCTGGGTCCATTGGCTC